ATATAAATTTTCATTTTAACTTAGAAATTTTCGAAAAGTTTACTATATTGTTTAGTTGTTGCAACTTTACTGCGCTTAAGTTGCGTTCAGATTAAAATATGAATTGATTTATGTAGCTTAACTAAAAAACAGGAACTAATGCTTTCATTCCAAAAAAAGTATTATGTTCAATAAAAAGAATTTCGAACTGTGATATCTGCAAGTCCTTATGATTATACAAGAGTAATCTTTACAAATTGATAGAAATATCGAACAAAAGTTTATTGATATAAACATTATTTCCATAATACTAATAAATATATCTCTATATAAATATACTCATAATTTATTTAATATATTCATTTAAACATGTTTTTGTTTTTTGTCTGGATGATATTGAATACTAACTTTTTCTATGTAACTTCGTTTACCCGAGACATTGTGAGATAAAAAAAACAGACAATTAATTAAAAGCGTACTCACAATTTTTCAGGTATAGAATTTTCAATGCTATACTGTTTCCCAAATTATGAAAATACTAAAGAATATTTAAAAAAAAAAAAAATAACAAAAAGCCAATTAAAGAATGTGTTAATACCTACAGAAGAACATCGTATTTCTTTTTTGGAAACAAAGAGTAGTCGAAAATTGTGAAAATAACAACATATTTTTATTACACAAAAATAATAATATGTAAATCATATCAGAAGAAAAGTCACCGAATACCGATTTCAGAAAGGTCTATTAGTTTTTATAGGAAATGGAAAGAGAAAAAACGCTCTTTAATTAAGTTAAAATTCTTTACTAATTTCGCTGTTTCTCTTTGACGATGTCCGGTCTTCGTCTCGTTTAAAATCGATAACTATAAACAAATTAAGGTATTTTGTACCGTATTAAAAAATTTAAGAAAATTTTTTCTTTTTTTAAAAAAAATAGTAAACTTTGACAAATATATACAATATTCTAAAAGATAAATCACATTTATGTGATTATACAAAAATTTTATTTATTTTTCTAAAATAATATGGATTGTCCTCTAAAATATATATAGTGGCTCGCAAAAAGTCTGCTTTTTATATGTTACTTTTTTCAGAAAGTGTTATTCCTGATAAAACTTGATGTTTAATTAAACCTAAAACTTTATTTATTTCAAAAATTCTGTATTATAAATATAAATTTGGCTGCACAGTGAACTAGGTACTCTTCTAGGAACCGAACCCACATTTTTACATATAAGATTAATTTAAGAAAATGTATACAACTCCAGATAGTAGTTTTTTAGTTAATACAATTAATATAGATTATTATATCCTTTTTAACCTACTTCAAAGAGGAGGAGGTTCTCAATTCGTCTGTATATATTTTTTTTATGTATGTTCAGCGATAATTCTTTAACACAATGTCCGATTTAAATGATTCTTTTTTTTTGCTGGAAAGAGGATACTTCCGGGATAGTCCCTTTTAATTTTGGTCAAAATCTAATAATTGGGTCCATGAGAAAATCCTCAAACTTTTCATTTTTTATATATGTTTAGCGATAAATTCTTTACCACCTTGTCCGATTTCTATAATTCTTTTCGTTAGTAAGGGGGTACCTCAGGGGTGGTCCCATATAAATTTGGTTAAGATGTGGTGATGGCATCAGCACGATTTTAAAGTCGGTTTTTTAAAATTACTTTTAATACTTGTTACGTAAATTAAAAGTTTAATAATTTGGTGCTTTCTTGATGCGTCGTTTTATGAACACTTTGTATATGTTTAAGTACAGATAATTATTATTACTGGCAGTTTATTTTAAATCATTAAAATAATATTTTGTTAATCCAAAAACGGCAAGCAAAAAAGCCGTGTCACATTCAGTGTAATAATAAAAATTAGATATATAAATATAGTATATTATGTACCAACAGACTAAACTTTCACTTTCAATCCCGCCTTTTTGTCGTAAAAGACTTCTAAATTTTTACTAGTGACGTCCGTACCGGGTTTGAACTGAATATTTTTGAACAAAAATATGGTACGCCACTGCTTCTTCTAAAAACCAAAATTATCTTTAAAATCCTCATTTATTTTGGAACAAATTTGGTTTATAGACGTACTTTCGTACGACGCACCCTTTTCGCGTAAGAAAATAAAAACCAGTTTATTGAAACTGCTTTTGATATTTTGTTGAAATTTGGTAGGAACCCACCATGAGTGGAAACACTTTTTTTTGGCAAAATAAAATAGTTATTTTTTTCTTAAAACGTAAAACACCCAAGGATTCACACCCTTAAGTATCGGCACTCAATTAATAAATACCCTGTATTAAATTACCTTATTCGAACCAATCGTCTATTTTTTCGTTATTTGTATTTATATTTCACAATTCTATACTCTTAAATCTAATTTAATCTAACTAAACCTATTCACTAAATTAAAATATAAAAATAATGTAGAAACCTCTAAAAAATCGAATTGCGTTATAACAATATGGGAGATATGCACCGAGAAAAACAAATACGATTCTGGTTCCCCTAATTTAGGTAACTCTGACTCACTCAAGAACAAGAACTGATAAACGTCTGTCGGCAGCCGTTGTAGAATTTTTAGGTTCGTATGAGACTCAACTTAGCGCGTTAGAGTTTGGAATACGTATTCCTCGTATCTACAGGCAATTGTTAAAATTATGAATGAATGCGGATTTTGTTTAGTCTCGGAAGTAATTTTGTAGTATTTAGGCTCCACCCTTAAGTTGTAATTTTTATACCTACTAAACTACCGTTGCCCCGCAGGTCTTTCAGTTTGTAATGTAAATTTTCCTCTTAAATAGACGAGTCGTTTTTGTTCTTAACCCTGTAACATTTTGGTAATACAGTTGAAGACTAATTTATGAACAATGATCAGATCCAGATACGAAAACCTTCAATGGTTGCTACTGTGACGGTAACGGTACAATTTTATTTTTAAACATTGTCAGAGCTCGTTTATAGTAATGGCAATCTTTATCCCATGCTACATGATTGACAGAGGTATATATAATCTGATTTATACAGTACAATTTATACATTTATTCGTATTAGACTTACAATCTTTGAGCTCGTGATTAAGAGAACATTTAGGACAGGTTGGTTCAGCTTCAGTACACTGACTTGCTAAAGGCTGTAAACCCCAACACTTGATAACACCTACGTAGTTTCACAGCACAATAAATTGGACAATCAAAATCGAAACCAACGGTGAGCTTACCGAGTTTCATAGCCGTGTCAATTTGTACGATAGTTTGGAAAAGTTTACTGTTTCTTTTATACGGTTTTATATATTATATATAATTTTAATGGTATAGTTTTCGTTACAGCAGCATCTCTTGGGATTTAAGATAGTCCAGTAGAATGGGATCATCAAATTATTCAGACATGTTCGTGACTTTATTGTGTAGATGTAGAGAAGAAATAGACTTCATTTCGTATTTGTCGCCTACATTGGTGTTGATAATTTGCTGGAATCTGGATGAATCCTCCTTGGTTACCACAACTTATAACTAAGACACCAATTTTTGTCTTTAATTTTATCCTCATATCTTTTTTTCTCAAAATTATTCTTTCTTCTTAATCACTTTGGGACTTTCTTGGTAGTTTTAACATCAATTTCACCGATCATCATCTTCCTTTCATCCCTCTGGTCTTGTAAAAGTTTTCGTTCCAATATAGGAACTTTGATTTTACACCCAAATGTATCAATAGTGAGACATTTGCATGGAGAAATATTGAATAGTTTTAAACTATCGTCTTTAAATATTTTAATTTTGCCAACCAGTTTAATATCAGCAATATCGTTTTAAAAAATGTTCAACATGCTTGAGTCTTTGTTGCTTTTATCTTTGAAACATTCACGATACAACAAATATTTTGTTTTTTTTTAATTTAATTTTTTTATTATTTTTATTTGCCACTAGAGAATGGATGTTCCTTCGGGACTCCAGGACCCTTTGGCTAATGACAGTGCTGCCTTAATCCCTTAATAGTATATTTACAACAGTAGCTAAAGATTGTATTGCTCCGATCTATTGGTTGATCGTCAGCTAATTTTCAGGTACTGATATTAGGACTTCTTTTAATTTCATTTAAAACAGCTTCTTCTATTTCAACTGTTTTTGAAATTTTAACCATTGAAATTTTAAAACTGCCCTTTTCAGAAAGTCGTGCATAAGACTTTTAAATATTCTTCTGTTAGGCACTACACGTTGAGGAAATATTTCATGATAAATACGTCTTGCAGCACTAGAGCCATCCCATAACAGAAATGTATATCTGTCATTTCGCTATCAGTAAACTGAACCAAATTGAATACAGAATAATCACCTAAAATACTTTATAAAAACAACAAATTACTTTATAAATGTAACAATTGTCAAGTTGTTTAACAAATGTTGCATTTAATTCCCAAAGCAAACTTTGATTAAAAAAAGAAAATTTCTTGTTTTGTTCCCCATGTTTATTCTTTGGTTTAGCGACAAGCGTTTTATTAATTTTTTCTTTTGATAACGAAACAACATACGAAAAAATTCACGGGATCAATTAACTTATATTTTTTAGTTGTTTAAACCGAAAAAAATAAAAATTACAAAACCGCAGGTACATTAGTTTTTTAATCAATATTTTTCGTTAAAAAGCCACCGGGACGCCACTGGATTTAATAAAATAAATCTCTTAGATGTAAATTATCTTCTTAACACTATAAATAATTTTGACAAATTTAAAAAAAAATCAGCTAAAGGGTATTTATGATATTACGAAAAAGCGTTTAAAAAAAACGGACCCATGTTTATATGAACTTTTCAACTTATATTCACTCAAAGAATCGTCTTGTCTCTTCACTTCTGAGTAAAGTTAAAAGTAACTACTTGTTTGTTTTAACTATAGGGTTATTGTTTGTTAATTTGTCAAGTAAACCTACATGTGAAAATATCGACCATTTAAAAATATTGTTCTTTTTTGAAATTTAAACTTTTAAAAAACTTTTTAATTATTTTTTCATTTCAGATTATTCGCCATTCAAATGAGAATCCTAAAAGGAATCGAAACGTACGAATACTACTTGACCAGACCATGGAACTTTGAAACGACCAGCATTGAAACAATTAGAACTAAACTAAATAATAGAGAATTAGAAAATTATCAGCTTCAATCAGAAACTAAAGATATAAAAGAATATTTAACCAATTGTGTGTTATATTGTCGAAGACATTTACTAAAAGAAACTGATGATATGTTACCGGCAGCTAGAAGAAATATGAAAATGTAAGCATTGAAATTTTAATATATTGATTGCTAGTGGTTAAAGTAAAAATATGTATTTTTTTTTAATTTCTTTTTAATTAATTTTTTATTTTTTTTTAAATTAATTGATTTCTGGTAACATCTCTTTCAACGTGTTGTGTTTTTGATAAAATTTTCTTTACTGTGATCATATTATACTGCATATACCCTTTGAGCATTAATATTTAATTTATTTTTTTCTTTCAGCATGTACGTGCTTGATAAAGTAGCCAAAGGACTTTTCCTCTATATAGTAGGGTACTATCTCTATAAACTGTTTATGATTTTATTTTCTGGCGTAGTCTAATTATATGTATATTATAAATGATCGATTTATTACGTTATCACTTGATGTAAATAAGCAATGTAGCAGGACGCATCTCTCAGCAGATCAGAAGAATTTTACCAAAATTCCATATTAGCAAGGACAGCTTTAGGAGGTGGCTAAGGGAGTCATACCCCTCGGAGAATAAATAAAATTCTCACAATCTATGAGCTAAGAAGGGAACGGCTAATAGCAAAGGTCTCCTCCGAAAATTCTGCCCAGAGCTGCCCTTGCTTGTAATAGCGCCATGTTTAAATAATATATGGACCCATGCAATGTAGTATATTTTAATTTTAATCAAAGGAATAGTAAGTAATAATAAAATAATTATTATATTATGAATGTTAAGTTAAAAAAATAATGTTTCGTTTTAAGTTAGGTTCAAAATAAACTTGACGATATATTGATAGGGTTTTTTTTCTGATTAGTTCACAATACAAATCAGTGGAAATTCTGCAGCTAGTTATTTACGTTATGTGTCATCTAAATATATCATCTAAGTTTTCTAGATTTTTTCTGTAAATAAGTCAATTTCCGATATTTGTTAAACAATTTAAGAATGTATGTTTTATTTAAAGTATGTTTTAGGTATGTTTAAAATTTCTAAATAAAAATATGTTATTTATTTTTTATTTTATTTTATGGTGTTAAACTAATTAAATAAATCATAACCAATATAGTGAAGCAATGTAGAGGCGTTTATTGCGGTGTTTTTACCTAACCTTTACGACCCGGAGTCTTTGCCGTTTACTCATATTTTTTGTGAGCAAAAATTCAGAAAAATTAAATACCTTAACTCAGTGGTCGCCAACCTGTCGATCGCGAGCTACCGGTAGCTCGCGGAGGCAATTCTGGTAGCTCTCACAACGTTTTAATTTTAAAAAATACAAACTGCAAAAATCAGAGAAGCTTCCGAAAATTTCACAAAAAAATCTAATTGTCATAATATTAAACATAAACAGCGGCAATGTTGCGGTGAGCGATCTGCCGCTGACGCCATTAAGCTAGAATCGGCTAGAACCGACCAGCCGGACAAGCGCGTTAGTATTCGAGAACGATCAGGATTGCTTTGAACGGGATAAATACGCACGGCGCCGGCGCGGCGACATTGCGCTTAGTTTAAAACTGAACGCGTAACCAACGTCCAGCGGTTGGGTTAGTAGAGAACAACAAAAAATATTATGGCAAGCAGTTGTAAGAAGGTAAAGACATACCACTTTCATTCGGAATGGGAAGAACAATACTTTTTTACAGAAGTTAAAGATAAAAATGTGTTTGTTATGTAATACTTCGGTATCCGTTGCTAAAAAAGGAAATATTGAGAGACATCATAAAACTGTACAAACTAATTTTGAAAAATCATTCCCACTACATTCTGCCGCCAGAAAGGAGAAACTGGAACAGTTAAAAAAAGCAGTTAATTGGACAACAATCAATATTTTTAAGAACAGTCGACAAAAATAAGGCTGCAACTGAAGCATCGTACCGTGTGTCCCAGATAAAAAAGAAACCTTATGAAGACGGGGAAATGATAAAACAGGCGTTTTTAAAAGCTGCTGATTCGTTATTTGCCAACTTTAGAAATAAAGACGAGATAGTTTCACCTATAAAATCTATGCAACTTCCTGCTAATACAGTGATGAGACGTGTAGAAGTAATGACCAATGATATTTTTTTACAGTTAAGAACTGACTTAGATAACTGTGTTTATTTTTCACTTCAACTGGATGAATCAACAGATGTTGTTGACACTGCCCAGATGGCCGTGTTCGTCAGGATGGTTTTTAGTGATTTTACGATTAAAGATGATCTTTTGAAGTTTATTCCACTGAAAGGACACACTAGAGGACAGGATTTGTTTTCTCATTTAAAAAATATTATTTCTTCCGAAAAAAATCCAATGTCGAAAAGGGTAGGCTTGACAACCGATGGCGCTCCAGCTATGGTGGGTTGTGATAAGGGTCTGGTGGCGTTATGTCGTAAAGATGAAACTTTTCCGCAATTTCTCTGTTACCACTGCATTATCCATCAGCAAGCATTATGTGGAAATTTCCTGAAACTAAACAACGTTATGAAACTGGTGGTAAAAATTGTGAACAAGATTAAAGCTCAAGCGTTACAAAGAAGATTATTCAAAACCTTGGCCGATGAAGTTGACTGTCAATACGAGGACCTACTCCTTCACTCTGAAGCCCGATGGTTAAGTAGAGGACGGGTGCTGAAACGTTTTAATGATGTCCTACCTGGCATAGTTCAATTTTTCAAACAACGCGATGAACCGACTCCGGAACTAGAAAATGCAATCTGGCTTAGAGATTTTAGTTTTCTCGTGGACATTACAGAGAAATTAAACGAAGTTAATTTGTAGCTTCAGGGGAGAGACAAAGAACTAGCGGAAATGATTTCTGATATAAAAGCATTTATCAAAAAACTGGAGTGTTGGGAACAAGACCTAATTAACAACGATGCCAAGCATTTTCCTATTCTTTAAAAAAAAATATCTCAAAATCCATTAGAACCCTATGACAGCAAATATCATGTAGAGATAGTTTCTACCCTGAAGAATAACTTCAAAAAACGTTATAAGGATTTCAACGAAATGGCTTTAGTAGCGCAGTTTGTTGTTTCACCCTTTATGGAAATTGATATCCAACAGTTTGCAACTTGTGCTATGCAGAACTTTGGCGAAGACATCACTGCAACAGAAATGGAAGTAATTCAGATTTAAAATGATTTAGCCTTAAAATCGTTAGTCTCAAGTACCAAATGTATCTGGCCTATTGTAAGTAAAGACAAATATTCAGTTCTATGCCGTGTTACCTTGAAAGTGAAAGCATTATTCAGTTCAACCTATTTGTGTGAATCTTCTTTTTCCAATATGAAATTTAAATAATAAATATCGCAATCGACTTACAGATGAACATTTGGATAATTGTATTCGAATGGCTGTATCAAATTATACTGCAAACATTAAAAAAAATTATCGATGAGTCTGAGTGTCAGCCTTCTCATTGAACGTGCTTTTTTATTTTTCAATGTTTATGTTCATGATAGTGCGTTACTTTTTTGTTGTTATTCTTAACTATTATTAAATCTTACGTGACATGCCGTTGTGTTTATTTTTCAAACACCTTCGTTTGTTAGGTAGGAATGTAGCTATGAACAAGTACGTACTAGTAATATTAGTTATTTTGTTATTAGTTTATTATTAGTACCTATGTATTATGTATTGGGGTCTATTCTGTAACAATTCCTTTATATTTAAACGGCCTTTAAAAATATTGGCGACCTTTAAAAATATGTTTGTATTCGTTAATTTACTTCTGTCATTATTTAAACAGATTTCTTTAAGATAGTCCTCTAATGTATTTTAAAGATCCGTTTAAATAATGACAGAAGTAAAGAAAAAAATATTTTTAAAGGCCGTTAAATATAAAGGAATTGTTACAGAATAGACCCCATTACCAGTTAAATAGTAAAATAAATACATATAATGATAAATTAACTGTGGATTATTTCATTTACGTTGCGTTACGTGGCTTCCGTGTGGGTAGCTCGCTGTTTATTCCAAAATTAACAAAGTAGCTCAACACATTGAGAGGTTGGCGACCACTGCCTTAACTGATTTACCTATTTTGTGCAACCTGGAGCTGTCAAGGGTTGCTTTAAAAAATATATTGTTAAGGTCAGTGAATTAGGATATCGCCGCCACTCGGGTTAACGGTACCACGTCTGCCTATTGCAGTGTCTGTCAGAGTCAGCGAATTAGGATATCGCCGCCACTGGGGTCGACGGTACCACGTCTGCCCGTTACAGTTTCGAGGACGAGGAGAGACCGGGGACTTGACTTTCGACCAGCCGAACGCGATGAAGTGATAGGTCTTATGCCTTTTAAAGACATTCTTTATTTTGTTCCTTAATTAATTACATTTAAAACATTGTTTACGAGATATTTAATAAAACGTTATAAAACCATGTTAACACGTATTTTATGAAGTGGCTATACAGGGTGTTATAGTATACAGGGTGCTAAATTATTTAAAAAGAATAATTTTGAAGTTAATTCTTTTAACTTCTAACAATATACAGAAATGAGAAAAATAAAAAACAACTAATTTACTTAACCTGTGCAACCTGTTACTTTTTACTGATTACTCTCCCACAGGTTAGGTTATTATTTACGTTTTTTTTATAAAACAACTAATTTATCCTAACCTGTGCCGTCTAGAGCCGTCGAAGGTCACTTTGCAAAAAAATATACAGAAATGAGAAAAATAAAAAGAACTAATTTACCTAACCTGTGCGAACTGTTAAATTTTACTGATTGGTCTATTGCTCTTCCACGGGTTAAGTAAATTAAGGTTTTTTTATTAAAAACATAACTAATTTACCTAACCTGTGCAGCCTAGAGCCGTCCAAGGTCACTTTGCAAAAGAAATATACAAAAATGAGAAAAAAAACTTAACCAATTTACCTAACATGTCTGGCATGTGGAGCCATTTAAATTTAACTGATTAATCTCGTACAGGTTAGGTAATTTCGTTTTTTATATGTTTTTCAAATAGTAAATCTACTTTTAAAACCGTAGAGCTGGCAACACTAAGCACTGGCGTGATGTGTTAGTTTCTTGACCGCAAATCTTTTAAAGGGGGTACCAAAAATCGACTAGAATTGAAAACAAGACTTGGAAACAGTCGTGGAATAAGTGAATAGGAGCGAAGATCATCCAAACTCGCGTTTGAAGGTCTTTACTTAACAGGCTTTCGCTGGCTTTTAATAAAATAATGTACCTATAGTGAAATTATATTTATTTTGCAAAATTATTCTTAAAACTTACACAAGCAGTTTCTGCGTTAGCAATACTTTCAATAGACAGAAAGAACCAATGATCTGACAACCTGGGGATGCGACATGGGTTGCGGCAAAGTGGGATCGGCGCACGGTTCGTGGTCTACTACTATTGAAAAAATGGTACGAAAATAAGAGATTGCTTGTATCAACATTAGTAGACAAAATACTAGATTTGCCTGTTTGCCACGATGAGTCAGTTGAAAAACTTAAACAACTTAATGACGTTAACATGGAATGCCTTAATGCCATCAAAAATATAGGTATTGAAACAATGTCTTGGGGACCCATTGTAACCAGAATAATAATGAGGAAATGGGAACCTACAACAAACAAACTCTTTGAACAAAACTTAACCAAGCCGCATGAAGTTCCAGACCTTGCCACAGAAATGGAATTCTTAGAAGGAAGATTTCAATCACTGAGTCATCAAAAAATCAATAGATGCCAAAAGCTAGGATTATGTATCCAAAATCCGAGATAAAAACAAGCTATAAAAATAATGGTTATAACACTTGTGGGTATTGCAACAAAGACCACACAATATATCAATGTGAAGCTTTTAAGTCACTAGATGTCAAAGACAGAAACAATGCCATAAAAGGTAAACAATTATGCTACAACAACTGTATGGCGCATGAATCCAAATTCAAATGCAAAAGTTCATTCAAATGCAACATCTGTCAACGTC